TCTTGACTAGAATTTATAAAACTTTTATTTATGGAAAAACGTTGTCATTAATGGGAGTGAATCGATAACACCCTTGTTTTTTTCACCTCTCTGGCAGGAGATTTTCTTCTTCACTTCAACGTTTGATCACATTTTTAGTTAGTGTAGTTTTGCTCTGAGCAAATGAATTCAATAGAGCTCATGATATATCACGCAGAAGATTAGGCTTACAAACAATGGTAAGATGCGACTTTTATCTAGGAACAACAAAGGAGTTCTAGGAGGTGTACTGTCCCGAGCCTGGTAGAATTGGCATGAATTTTTTTAGTCTTACATCAAATAAACCAATCTTGAAGTTTTGCAAATTCAGGTTTTTTATAGTCTTATTTAAATGGAATTGAGCAAATCCGTTTAAGGTTTTTTCCTCCACTCTTCGTTTGGCTTTCGAGTTTCCGACCTCACAAAGCATGTAGGTTACAAAGAAAGTACGTTAGCCAAGACCCACTTTTCCTTCTCGGATAGGCACCCCTCCTTCTCCGCACTATTTGTTATTTTCCTGCTCGAATCTACGTTGCTCTGGTACCCAGGGTAAGTGACCAGGTATGAAAAGCTAGCAGTGTGAGCCAAATCCATTTGTGCTCGGAATGTGTATTGAAAATTCATTTGTGTATTAGAATTTCACGCGAAAACGATATAAAGAAGAGAAAAGGAGCAAAGCCAAAATGATTGGCGGAGAGAGAAAAATTTGAGATATGGCATTCTAAGAATAGCAAGAAATGCATCTAAAATATTTAACTTGTAGAAAAGAATGTAGTGCATAAAATATCAAAACTACACAAGACATAGTCAAACAATAGCAATCAGTTGTTGATTCAGGCATTTCCAAATGCAACAAAAAACCAACTCTATACATAGCTGAAGAAATCATTCAAGAATTTTCTATCTATATATGTCAAACGTTCTGTAAATTTTAATGCATATAAAGCTTGCAATGTCGTTAAATCTGCCAGTTGCTTCTCTGTTCCTTTTCTGGTTTAGTTGTCAATGGCTTATCTTTGGTAAAGTAACAATTCTTCACAGCTTTCTTTATATCATTATTGGCTGTATCCAAGCACCAAACATGGGGAGAGGGGCTGAACCCCCAGTTTTTTGCAGATTTTAACAAGTAGGCTACCCCCTGTTAAATTGTATTGTCCACCCCACTATTTCAGGGCTGGCGCGGCCTCTGCGCACAACATTTTCAAATTTGATAATTTGGAAACGCAAACTGTCCATATTAAAATATCTACAAATTGTGGGAAAGGAAAAATAGAGCTGTCCATGATGATGCAAAGATTATGATATTCCTATTTTTCACAATGATCAGGCAGTTTACCCCTTTGATCAAATAAGAAGTGAAAGTAATCAATAAGAAGAGTGTATGCATTTGGAGAACAATAATAAGAATTACTTAGGCAATAGTGTCACCAAACCGAAAACTTTTTGTCGGTTAATTCAATTCAATTATCGAAATGCAAGAACTTATATCTCACAAACAGTAAAAAATATCGAAAAACAAATAACGAATTCGCGATCAACAGGTTCAACTCCTTTAGATTAGCCAATAAAATGCAAGTGCAAAATTTGGCTGGTGAGGCCCTTTAAAAAATAAAACTATACCAGATTAGAACTGCAATCTTAAAATTCCTGGGAAAAAATATTCGCGAGTTTTATCAATGATAATTATAATCGTTTAAGAACCACGTCCGTATTTATTGCCACACTCATTTTGTTGACAAACCACTACACGTGTAGTTTTTCAAGAAAAGATTTTAGGCTCATACCTAAAATGTTTCCGTTGCAAAACCGAATCCTAATTTGATTATTCAACGCAACGCCATAGGTCCTTCATCGAAGGTGTGAAAATAGTGTTTACAGTAACAAGTGAAAATAGCACAACATCAACATCAAAAACTTTGTGTTGACTGATAATACGCATATTTTAGTAATTTAACTAATTAGAAGAAAATGATTTTGCCGAGGAAGTCGTGGAAATAGCTAAGAGAGAGCAGTGACAACTATTGTTTTCTGAGGTTCTCAGACAAAAGATCGAAAGAGTGAGCCAAAGGAATTAAAATTAAAATTAAAGGGTTAAAATTACAGCGCAAACACTTGCGTGGTAAATGGGTAAATCAATAACAAAACCATAAAGGTTGTTAAAATCAATTTTAATGTCGTATTGAAAATGTGTTTGCAAAAAAGACGACAGCTTACTCCTTCAGGGCCGTCGCGAAAAAAGCCTTGTTGGGGGGGGGGGTGTGGACTACAAATTTACCTGATTAAACAATTTTTGCCTGAAATTCTTTAGTTGCTGTCACAAACCTTTGCAATGCATATTGTCAATCTAGCTCTGTATATAATTCGCAATTTTAATTTTAATTTGATAATAACGAAATTTTCCTAATAGTTTTGTCAAATCTCTATATAGGAACGGGCAAAGGATATAGTTACTACCCAAGGCGGCACCATGGTTGCCGCCGAAGGAGCAGGAAATTTTCGAATCAAAGCTTCTAGTTCCCTGGAAAATGCACTCTTTCAGGCAAATTTCACTAAAGCAATTCTCCTAATCCTATTGAAAATAATTTTTTTTGCAAACAAATTGAACAGCAGATAAAAGCAACTGGTACAATTTTGCCGTGGTCTCGAGAAATACCATGTTGTCAGTTACTTCTGAAGCTAGGTAACAAGCATCACTGGTTGTCAATTTAGACCCCTCTTTCCATCTTAGCATGCCTTTCGAATGTTAAGTAAAATCTGGAGCTCATAGTGAATTGCAGTTGACGCTTCTACCAAGAAACTTTAGGGGAAATGGACACAAGACATAATTTTACCTAAAGAGGGCCTGGATTTTTCGATTTAGTGCCAACAAGAAATCTTCAAATCATTAGTTTGTTTACCTTCATTCATATCAAGGAATATCATAATTAACCAACGGAGCAACTACCGTTGCTTGATCGTTTATTGATTTTATGACATGAAGGTCTCTAAAATACCTAAAGCGTTTCTTCCACCGAGCGGATTTTACCTGAAATTAATGATTTACCTGAAAAATCCCCATTTCGAGACTGCAAGTGCGGACACGAGGCCATTGCCCGCACTTTCGTTCTTTCTAGAAACTGACATTTGGGAAAGACGGTTGTCGAAGTGACATACGAAAGTTTTATATTTCGTATGCAAGCATGAATAGGGTGACAGATACTAAGCTTTATGACCTGCTTGGCGTAAAGCCAAATGCATCAGAAGTTGAAATTAAGAAGGTAAGCTGTATTTATTGCTATTATTGCTTCTGCCGAATAGTTTTGGCCTAGCCACATTATACGTCAAAGGCGTAGATTATTTAATTTTTAAGCAGCTGGGTTGCTTAAAACTAAAACTTAGGCCATGGAATTATGTGAATTGTACGAAGTCTTAGTGTCGAAAATGATAAATTTTTCATAGGAAATGTTTTGGAGCAAATTTGGTCTTTCATGGTGGATGATGGATATGCTGACAAAAATGAGTTTTAACAATTAGATTATTCCGTGGTTCTATTAAGCATATAGGTTTCAGATTTTTTTATAGTGCAGGTGAGCTTAACTTTGTCTCTTTCTTGTGTCTTTTTTTCGCAGTCTTGCCTAAAGTTAAATTAATTCAATGAATTTGGGACCTGTCTGTGACAGGCTATGAAGTGAAGGGTGCTTGATCGAGCCAGACTGCCTTACTTCTACTTCTACATCGATACTGAGCAGGACCAAGTATCGGTATAATGCTCAGAGTGCAAGAAATAATAGATTATTGGATAAAAAGTGCTAGAAGATGCCACTGATCAATGATTAGATTGAACATTTACATGTCAAATGAGAAGCTGTAATTTTGTTTGTTGGCAAGACCGAATCAAAAAGGGACTGAAAATTAAAGGGAACATTGAGAGGGCATTGTGGTAATGGATTGGTCAGTGACATCTATGAATTAATGCAGGTGCAAATTATAATAAAAGTTACATGTTAGAATAGGATTGGAAAAAAAATCTAAAATACACTGAAAGGCAATACTTTGACCTGTCTGTGAACACAGTGCATCCTTGGATTAAGGACACACCTTACACTCCCCTCAAATACACTTCTGGCTCAATCATTTGAGCAACTGGCCTAAGAAGGTGTTTTCTTTGAGCGACATTATTTTATTGTTCATTCTAATTTATTGTAATTAAATGAAGTTCACAATTTTGACAAAGTTGCTTCTTTTTTGGCACTACCATATTGATAAACTCTATTTCTTGCTCTTATTTTCTTAAAATTACAAAAGAATTCCTGTGTTGATATTTCTAATTGTTGTTTGAATTGAAGAATACACATCTTGAAATTTTCAAAGTTTTTTATCTGCTTTGCTTCAAACCAAGAATCATCTAAGTGCTTGGCCAAGTAAATAAATAGGGTGAGGGTTAAATCTACAAAGTGTCTCAATTTTGCTAATTTCATGGCCTGCTAAGTTAGCTCTTGGACATATTGCAGTGGATTGTCTGGTTTTTGTTCAAATTTTTGTTTTGTATTTGTTGATGATCCCAAATGGAATGACCCCAAAGGTGAAGAATGTGGAACAGTGATGATGTCCTCTTCACCTCTGAGAATCAACACAACAAGATTCCTGTTTTAAGTTGCAGTGCTCAAAATTTTTTTTATATTGTTTATTGAGGTAAAAATTGTTTCCCAGCAAAAGGCCAAAACCATTCAACATTTTCCCAGCCTACATGTTACTTATACTCTTTGCAGCTTCATCAATATAGTTCTGACTGATGCCTTCTTTAATAATCAGGCCCGCCATTTTCAGGATAAAACTTTTTGGCATACAAAATTATGGTCCTCTTATTTTTTGTCATTTTACTTTGTCTTCAGTAAATATTTGCCTATTTTAAGTACATTAGAATCATGGTGTAAAAATGTTTTTACAAAATTTGATGAGCTAAAATAAACTGAAATAACCAAAATGAATTGAACAAATAAAAAATTGTCAATCAGTCATTTTTGTTTCTGTCAAAATTCTAATTTAATTGCAAAAAGAGAACCATGTTGTTATTAACTTTTTACATTAACTACAAAAAATTTTGCCATGATGTCAAAATTTCGAGCAGATATTTTGACAAAATTTTCTTTGACAAAATTCTACATGAGACAAATTTGGTCACGACAAAATTGTTTGCATCAAAATTTTTGAGAATTCGCTCTTTTATATATATTCAGAAATAGAAATGCTCTAACATGAGGTTAGGAATCAAATTAATGTATCCTTTTATCTTTCCAATGTCAACTATGTCCTTTTCCTCATTTCCTCATAATTATCATTACCATCGACATCATAATCATCATCATCATCATCATTGTTAGTTCTTGAACTAATTTTGTTATCACCATTCTTCAATAAAAACAGCTTTTAGTTGTGTAATGAGAGGGAGACAAGACCGGCGGGTGCCCCCATGCTAAAAACATATTTGAAGAAGGACGTTTTCTGGCATTCTATAGGTGTGGACTCCATTTTTTCCTTGATCAACTCGCTTTTGCGCCCCCCCACACCCCCAATCTTTCCACCCTGGCTACCTGTTCTAACTGTTTTTTTGCTGGTTTCAAAGATTCCACCTCTGTCTTTTTTTACGCAACTGTAATATTTCTTTTATTCATTCAAGGTATTTGCATTTTTCAACCCAAATTTTGAACTCAACAGGAAGCAAACTTTCCAGACCAACATTTCCTGTTGGAGATGGTCCTGTGCTTTTCGAATCTTATTCTTATATTCACACTTATACTTTTAACTATACTCTGTTTATAAACTTTCATACCATATAGATTAGAGTATAGACTCTTTGAATCCTTAAAGCTTCTCTGTGGACCAAGCCTTTGCATAAATACACTGCATTAATTTGGTTTTTTTGACATGCTACCTGGAGTGCTGAACCCAAATCCGATACCCATGAAATTGAGTATAAAGCAATCTGTATTGTTTTGCCTCTGAAGATTTTGGTAATATGTTGCTATCTTTGTGTTAAAAACCCATGGAATACCTCATATGTGCAAAATCGGTTTTACAAATTGGCTTATATATGACCACTTGAAGATGTCACACTTAAGAATTCTATAGTGTTGTTGTTCTTATAGCTTTCTTGAATGTAAGTGATAATTTGATCACAAAGCATATTAATGATATGTTCCTCTTTTTAAGGCCTATCGTAAGCTTGCAAAACAGTACCACCCTGACAAAAATCCTGACCCAGATATGGCAGAAAAGGTGAGTGATATTTGTCCTTTTTTTGCAGTCTTTGTTCTGGCATTCAGAATTAGACAAGAATCCTGTTCTTTAAACTAATTACCACTAAGGTATGAAGCAGAACATTTAGCTGAGGCATGCTGCTTTTTAGGCAAATGGATCAATATTCTGGAAAGGAAACAGACAAAAAGTGTACTATTTCCTGTAATAAGGGATTCTTTAATTTTTGGAAAAAATGTAGACGCAAGGTCCTGCTGTGCCCTATAGCTCCTCCATAGCTACTTTGTTGTGCAAAAGAATTTTAAGAGAGAGCTTCTTATTTCTAAGCATATGATTCTTGTAAATCAGTTGAATCAGCTACAATTCCTGTAACTGCAGTACGTTTCTTAACAAGTTTACCTTAAATTTTTATATTTGATATTTGTTTTGATTATGTTTTTAGCATCTCATTTTTATCAGTTTGTCCTGTTGTGTCATTGAACCTCATAGATGTCACCCCAGGCAGCAAAAATGCACTTACGTTTGAAAGCGTATTTTCTTATATTTTTCATTTTCATGAATATTCCTTGATGAATTTTCAATTATTTTCCACCCAAACAGTAATCTTAAAACATTTATTCTTAAAACAAATAAAACATATTTAGCTTACTATGTATATAGCTATTTGAATTTTGGTTAGCTAAAAATTTCTTGCAGCAGTGCTACCATTTTGTAGCACTTGGTGCAATACTTTTCGAACATATGGTTTTGCAATACAATAATTTAATGAACTGTTGCTGAAATTTTATCAAACCTTTAACAGAAGCATAGAATTGAACATTGTCCAAATTTCGTAATGCCACAGTTTTGTGCTATTTTGTTATTTGTGATATTTTGTGATATGAACAATTCAATTCTCATGTTGTTATTTTAGTCAATAACAAACAATTACTCCTTGAAAATATACAGCTATAAGTTGTTAGATTCCTTTTTTGTAGTTCAAAGACATTTCATTTGCCCATGAAGTGTTGACAAATGACGAAAAGCGAAGTATCTATGACAGATATGGAGAAAGGGGTTTAAGAGAAGGAATGGGAGGAGGTATTTATCTTGTTTTCCTTTTTATTTTGGTTCTTGTAAATTGTTTAATATGTCTTATTTTCATGAAGTAAATCTGTTCTCATAAATAAGCCCTTTGTTGTGAAACAAAGTTGACATCTTAGGTCCTTGGGGTCAATGCTTAAAGGTATCATAAATTTTATGTGCAGAGTTTCAAATTGATTTTACAAGGAACCAGCTTCAATTGTCTTTATTGTGTTTGGGCCAGCAGCAAAGTAGAGATTCCTCAATAGAACCTCTTCCTTTTTCTGTTTCTTATCCTGAAATTGAGTTGTCAGAAGATGTACATCATGGACACTGATTGGACTGCCTAATAACTTATATTAATTAGTCATTAATCAATAAGGTAATGCTAGATTCCCTAGTATTTTAAGTACTTGATTTGAATCTTACTGGAAATATTGGAATTTTTTTTTCTGCTTAGCAAATGTTTATTTTTGGACAAAACTCATTGTAGTAAAGTAGGAAGTACAAAAAATAATTTCAAATAAGATGTTTTTCCTTTTTGATTAAATTTTTTGGTATGTTTTCCTTTTGACAGAAATTCATCTGATCAACCTTTTTTCACTAGTCAGCTTCATAAAACCTCCATTCTGAAAAATAATTTTCTTACTTTATTATCTATAAGGTGACAAAGAGTATTATATATATAATATGTAACAATACATGATATATATGATATATATGATAGAGTATATCAGAAGTGATTTGTTCACTTTCAATCAATCATAGGAATGGATGATATTTTCAGTCACATTTTTGGTGGTGGTGGTGGTGGTGGTGGACTTTTTAGTAAGTATATTTACTTTTTAGAAATATTTTCTATTAAAGAGAAATTTTAAGAAGCATTATTTCAGTTAAAGGTAATCAGCAAAAGAGATTTGTTATTACTGAAATGTAAACTCAACTCAGTGAAATATTGTATACGGCCTTTGAAGCTTGTTCTCTTTATGGTGCCATTCTATCTTGTGTTAAGAATTTGCATAATGTCAACCTTAGTGAATTTGTTTTAAAAGTGCTTATCATTTTAAAACATTTAAGTTATGATCTTTTCGTGCTGAAAAACAGTTTATCAGCAAAAGCTTTGGCAATTATTTGAACATTTTGACCTACCCCGCGCCATATGTATTCTCTTTTACCATTTTTATGTTTCCATATAGATGTATCTGCAGTGGCAGACACCTGGGGGCAAGGGGCAGTCACTTCCCAATATTTTGGAAGACAATTGTATTTTGTTTGGAAACAATGGGAAGGTGTCACCGTCTTATCTGACCAATAGGCTTGCCCCCCAATATTTGACCAAGTGTTTGCCAGTGTGTATCTATAAAATCTCTGATATGAAGGAACTTCTTACAACAAATACAACTATGGTTTCAGTTACATCAGGAAATGGGCATGATACGGCAGAAATTTTCTTAATGGAAACCAGGCTTTAGAATCAAGATGGGTAATATTTGAAAAAGAAACTCATTGGATAATATTTTCAAGAAATTGTTTTACATCAATAAATATATGCAAAGATGTACAAAGTATAATTGTATTGAAGTATGGTTGGAATTAATACCTCACTGCCTTGTTACAGGTCATTTTGGATTCTCTGATTTTGGTGGTGGCAGGCACAGGCGGCAACCAAGAAGGGGTGAAAATGTGATGCATATGTTAAAGTATGGTTCATTATTTCATTTATGACAATTTCTATTTGTACATTATTCCATGTGATAAATGAAGTTTAGATGCAGATTATTTCGCTGGTATTAATTATGTTTTTTGTTTCCTTTATTGCTCATAATGGTCAGTTGAGGTAGCTATTATTCTTAGTTGATTTGTTTGCTTCGTCTTGCTGTGATCATTATCATTTTTATCCCAAGATTCACCAAACCAACTGGACATCCTTCTGCCACACTCATAAAGAAATCCATCTTTTTTACAATTCAGTTCACTTGTTTGCTCAATGTTATTGTCATAACATTATGTATATTTTCAGGGTCACACTGGAAGATTTGTACAATGGAAAAACATCAAAACTCAGGCTTAATAAGAATGTAATATGCTCAAGTTGTAAAGGGTAAATATCCATTTATAGCTGTTGTGAAAGAACTCTAAAAGTGTTAATACACAAAACTATGTTTTTAAAATAAGCTTTCTTTTTTTTCCTTTTTCATATGAAAATATGGTAGTATGGATGGGGTGTTTATCTTAAATAGAGAATTGCCCAGATCCAAACAGAATTAAAAGTATATAATAAAGTAAAGCTCTGAAAAGGCCAACATTTTTAGAACATTCTAAAGCTTTTGTCCAAAGCTCCTCTGCTACTCTAGTGAGTATCAATGAAAAATTTTCAGTTTGTTCTAAAAATGTTAAAAATGTTTACCTTAATTGATGTTAACATTGGATTGAAAGTTAAATCTTTGCCAAAGAACAATCTTTTGGTTTGCATTGTACAGTTTTTTAGACCTTTTTATTTAAAACAGGTTTATATAAGACAGGTTTGTATAATACAGGTTTATATAAGACCGGTTGTAAATAGTCCAATGTGTGATATAAATCATGATATTTTGACCTCCAGGGCTGGAGGAAAAGCAAATGCTGTACAGACCTGCCATGCTTGTCGAGGCTCTGGGACAAAAATTAGTCTTGTTCAAATTGGACCCGGCATGGTGCAACAAACACAGCGAATGTGCCCTGAATGTCACGGCGAAGGTACTTTTAATGTATTTTTTAATGTATTTTCCATTGAATAAGGCCCTTCTTAAGCTTTGATAGTTAAAAAGTAACACATAGTAAAATTTCATAGTAGAACAGAATGGAATGGAATGCTTTCTGCTATCCAGGAGCCTACCTTCTTGGTTGGCCTTGGGTAATAACAAGAACTTTTTAAGAGTGTGAGAAGTTTTGTGCCAAAGCCTGCTCGTTCTTCAATATTATTCTGAGACATTTAGCAACCGATAAAGTCCGCAAAGTATATTCTTGTTTTAAACACTAGTTAATTTCATTGAAAAAATTTGAAATTTTGCTTTTAAAATAAATTGCATATGTTAAAGTAACAAAGACTTTCAGTTTTGTTTCAAGTTATACTATGCACATTGCTGGTAATTTAACACAGGTTTGCTTAACTCTATCCCACCTTGACACATATTTTTAGATGACGTTGTGAAATCCTAGTGAAACGCACTGCCATTTCCAGTTCTAAGAATGACCTTAACTTGATGGAAGAATTCTGCATTACCCAGCATTAATGGAACATGCAGTGACAATTAAATTGATCATCTTTTATCCAGCCTGCATGCCAAACATTTCAAACCTATCTTAAAAAGAATATAAACAGACCTGATTTAGGTGGGATGCTTCAATTTATCTGATTTCCATCGACCTTTGAGTTGCTGGACATATGAACACCAGTTTTGCACAGAACGCTAGGGATATGGTGGTTTTAGTTTTGCCAAGGTTAGTTGTGTAAAATAGCTGCCCTTAAACATGCAGTAAATGCACTTTGGAAATTTTATCGTTATTTTGTTTAAAACTAAGATTTTTATTCAATTCAGGTGAAATAATTGACCCAAAACATTCTTGTAAAAAGTGCAAAGGAAAGAAGGTTGTAGAAGAAGGTAAAATCTTAGAGGTGAGTTTAAATGTACCAAGAATTGTAAATTTTAGAGTGATGAAAAGTGCCATACAGGAATGTTGGTTTATTTATTGTAGTTTAGTTTTACATTATCATTTCTCAAGGTATTGGATCCTTTTTTGTTGTTTTGAGTTGTTCCTTTTTACACCAGAATGAATCGAAATGAACCAGTTCATACCGGAATGAACCAGAATGAACCAGCTCATACTAAAATAAATCGGAATGAACCAGTTCATACTGAAATGAATCAGAATGAACCATTTCATACCGGAATGAACCAGAATGAACCAGTTCATACTTGAATAAATCGGAATGAACCAGCTCATACCGGACCGGAATGAGACCGAATGAGCCACGATGTTTATATGTTAGCTGTTTATATAATGGTGTTTCATGACTGGCGCCAAAAATGAAATACTTACGTTTTAGATTTAGGTTAAATATTGGAGAGTGATTCTTTAAATGAAATACAGAAACTGCCTATAACAAACAAGCGGGCACTTGTTATGATGCCATGGAATGAACATTCGTGTTGGATTTCTTATGCCTTATCCAATATCTCTTTAGGTGCTATACGCACGATGTTACAACTGGGTCAGTCATTTACTACATTGTAACCAAAGCGTGATTTCCTTTGCCCCATTAAGTCATTTCCAGTAGATCCATATTCAAAGCCAAACATTTTCTTAGCTCTTAAATATATGCTTCTATCTGCTTTCTTTCGTTAAAAAGAGAAGTGCTCCTGAATGCCATTCACGGCCAGTTCCTTTTATCTTTTCTTTAGTCTTTCCTGTGAAGCTCCCTGGCTTTCATTAGCTGCTGGCTTTACTGTAGATGAGATTAGAAGGCGAACTCACATTTGAACCTAGACCGCCAGCAGTATAGTTAAATCCCATAACCGCGTGGCCATTTTGCCATCCACCTTTCGATGTTTTATGTGTGTAAATCGTCTTATCTATGCTCAAAAAATGTAATAATACATCTATTTTAGGTCCAAGTTGAAAAAGGAATGAGAGATGAACAGAGAGTAACATTTCGAGGAGAAGGCGATCAACAGGTAAAAATTTTGATGTAATTTGTTGAACATTCTGAATTTGCCCCCTAGGCACGCTGTGTTTCTCCATGCAAATCAGCCGTCGGGGACCCCTCCCTTCATTCGGGTAAGATTCCCTCGTTGAATGGCCATTTCTTTCTGTCCAATAAAGATTGCTGACACGAACTAGTTTTCAATAGAAGTGTCTTTTCAACTCTATAGGGTATCTTAGAGCTTCCTTCTGTTACTTTTTTGTGCTTTTTTCCTTCCGTTACTTTATTATCTTTTAATATTTGTAGATGTTTTAGAATTATTCACTCCTCAATTTATAAAAAAATGTTGTCATACAATAATAATATAAAAAGGATAAAAATAATAATTCTTAAGTTTTTAACATCTGTTAACATGCATCCTTCCGTTACTTTATTCCTATTCCTTCTGTTACTTCATATGCATGCTACAAACACTTTACTGGTTACTTTCTTTGTTGCTGACATTGAAATTTTGCCAGTGATTTAAAAAGAGGGACCCTGTAGCATCTTTCATAAACAGTCTAACAGTAGCTATGCTGCAGCATTGAGATAGAATTTACAATCTCCCGTAAAGATTTTATTCCTATAGCATTTTTATGGCCTTAAACATCTATCAAATTCCTTCCGTTACCTTATTTAGCATTTTGAAATATCTCCTTTTTTATTCCCTATAGGGAGTTGTCCATTTACAAAACAACGTATTTCAGATAATCTTATGATAATCTTATGATAATCTTATGATAATCTTATGTTCGTATGATAATCATTCTGATTTTGATTTAATTTTATTATAATGATAATCGTTATCATAATTATTATCATTCGTGTTTACCTTTTATGCTCGTTTAGCCTGGCATTGAACCTGGAGATGTCATAATTGTTCTCAAGCAAGTCGAGCACGACAAATTCACGCGAAGGGGTGATCACCTTTCTATGAAACTGAAAGTGTCTCTTGTTGAGGCCCTGTGTGGATTCCAAATCCCTATCAAACATCTGGACGGGCGAGAACTGCTGCTGACTAGTCCCCCGGGCAAAGTAATTACTCCAGGTAACGCTCATCAATTATCCAGTAATTTTGTTTTCAAATATACAAGTGTCTGTAATGCAGTTTCAACATTCACTTGGCTGGCTGATCAGCGCATGAGAATTAAGACTTGACCCAGTGCCATAAATTGAAGACTGCTAATCGTGAAGCTCCAGTCTGCGCACTTCTATATGGCACTGAATGCTATACGAATTTGCAATTTGTTGGCAATAGTTCCCACTTGAGTGTTTGTTTATGTCCTTTATGTTCATTGTGATAATTACTGCTTTACTTGTATGTCATAAAGTGCTCGATACCGTATAAACATGGGGTTTACACGCTTCGATGTGTGGAACAGACGGTTCTAAACTGCAACTCTGAGTTTCCCGCTTGATGAGGTCATCAGGCAAAGTTTCTTTCGTTTTCTTGCATGATTTTACCAAAATCGAAGAGATTTTGAAACCCAGCTTAGCAAGATGTCCCTCTTTGTCGCTGTATTAGTTATTTTTTGCCATAGTGTTATAAATTTAAATTTGTCTGCTTTGTTGACATCTTTCTGAGCAAAACTTTAAAAGATGGCTGCTGTAAAAGATGCAAACGTGTGGATACATGTGTGGATTCTGACTATGGGCAATATATGGAGTCTCTTGTGCATCGTGGCACCTTGCCTCCATATTTGACTACACAATTTGTTACCTTTGCGAAGATTTTTTGTCCAAGGAGGGAGCGAACCCTGAAAAACTGAAACGGCCTTCTTACTCAACATTGCAACCTTCTTTGATGAAAGCGCGGCGCTGTTGCAGTATACCCCTGTGACTGCAAGTGGTTTTCAGTGGTTTTCTAAGACCTTCTCTGCAATCAATTTTTTCATGACTGTTTTCTTCTCTGCCGCTATCCAGGATCTGTAAAGTTGGTTCCCGGCGAAGGAATGCCGATGCGCAGGAATCCAATGGAAAAAGGGGACCTAGCTGTTGCATTTGACATCGAATTTCCTATCAATAAATCGCTATTAAACGCCCTGCCGGTAAGTTTAAGCTTCTACTGCCGTCACCATCATAATTGATTCCTATTCAAACACCATACGCTTTTGCTTTAACAAGCAGGAAATAACAGGAGACGCTTTAGAAATCAGGATTTGTTATTAGAATTCCTTTTTTATATTCCCGGGAATATTCAAAATGTTCTACGGTCACACATGACAAGTCGCAATCTTGTGATTATTTTGCTCTTGCGCTACGGTAACTGATAAAGACTTTACGGGATATCTTTAGCCACTTTATTTCTTGGCTTTTATAGAGTTCCAGGAAATAATTTATTTGTCCTTTTCTTCTGAATAAGGAACTAGAGAAGCTCCTCCCACCCAGTGAAGAGAAAGTAAGCTACAACGAAGAGGACGTAGAGAAAGTTCATCTTATGGACGAGGAACATATTCACAAGGAGGATCCTTCAAGTCGGAGAGAGGCTTATGAAGAGGACCGCGATGATGATGATGATCACCCAGGCGCTGGACAAGGAATGCAGTGCGCAACACATTAAGTCAATATGGACGTTAATTTTCGTGCTAGAATGTCAAACTTCTAATTCTTGATTGTATTTGACCGTTAACCCACTCTTTTGAAGACATAGGACAATGTATGCTATTCAAATCTGTTCTGTCAGTTTCATTCGATGTTGCTTCATTTGCAAAATTTGAACCCTATTTCATAACTCAACGATATACTGTTTTAATTTTGTTTGCGATAATTTGCTTTTGTTTGGTTGGCACTACAAACGGATAAAGTGGAAGATTTCATAGATGCCACTTGCTTGCATAGACCATAATCTGCGATAAACAAGAAAAATGAAGTATGGCAACTGCAGAAAAAAGAATATTCCAAACCTTTTTTTCTTACCCTTCATATCCTAGCATGAGGTGATCCAATTTTTCGAAAAAACTGAATCCATTCCTTTTGATTAATTACCGGAGTGTAATTTCTGAGCTGGCAGGACTCATGTAAATTTATCTTTGCAAAATATTTCTCGCGAGTGATTTCTGTTGTGCGTTTGCTCAATGAACATTCTTAAGATTTTAAATTTTTCAATTGCTTGCCACATCTAAAATAACCATGGGTCAGAAGGTACCAAGCTTCCGGCTGCTCTAATACGTACTGCCGAGCACTAGCCACTGCATCTCCTCAGCTCTAAACATTGGTTTGGATTTCGTGTTATTTGTAACGATTTCTTGACTCTCTTACTACCAAGCAAGTCAATTTCCGTGCGGATAGAAATTTGTTATTGCGAAAGCGCCGATGAAGATAAATGGTTAAGAAAAAAGCAATGTGACTGTGTATGATGGGTTCTCTGGGAATTTTTCCACATATTCTGTTGATTCGCTCTTTAAATGTCTGCTAGCAAAAGCCCCATTGGTCCACTTTAAGGGTCCATTGAAAAGCGCGATACTAAATACGAGATGATGTAGCGTCACATTTTGAACATGGCGGGTCAGAAAACTAGATGGAACCTGATTGTTTTTATACCGCAAAATTTGAAGATTGCACGGAATGGCGGAAACATAGCATACTGAAGCACTTTCGCCTGACACTCGGATAATGACCGAGAATGAACGTCGGATAATGACCGAAAATGAACGTCTGATAATGACCGAAAATGAACGTCTGATAATGACCGAAAATGAACGTCTGATAATTTATATCCACACGTTTAGACCAGGCAATGAAAGCTGCCTGGTAAGAAATAAAGTACAATATGATAGGAGACAAAGAAGCACAAAAACATCCATTCGCGCGATGAGCTGTTTCAGTTATCTACAAAAACTAATACAACCTATATTTACATTTCTTGTTTGTAGACGTAAATTGAAATATCGACAAGGCGGTTTAATGTTCGTTCTTCAGCAGTCTATAGCAGGGTGTTAGGGGGGTAGCGAGGTTTTTTCCTACTGTAAATAGGAAGACCTTGAGTAATGGGTTGTGATTATAAAGTTGTATGGGGATGTATGGCTACTGCCCATGAACAAAGAGGGAGGGTAATGTGTAATGGTCTTCCCGTTCGCAAGGCTTTTGATAGGAAAAATGAAGTGGTGATTATCTAACAAAAAGAGTTTACGCAACCAATAGAAATAAATAGTTACTTTTGAAACTATATCTAGACAGTCTAAAGGTGGATATGATTTGGAAAATGGATGAAAAAACTCCTTCCCTTGCCATATTCTAAATTAGAGAATGCTGTAAACCACAAAATTCAATTTAAAAAACTTGACAAGAATTCATGCATCATTTGCGGCTTCGTTCTCTTCATCAACAGCTGCTAATTGGGGCAAAGGTCGTTTCGATTTAACTAATACTGGAGGCAATTCTTTCTTTAATGTCCTCTTTCCTTTCTTTCTCTTGCTTTTCTTCCTTTTAAGATTGTCTTTTAATTCTTTTTCTTTTACAGATTCGCTATTATGCATAAGATTGGACGGTAAGTTGTCCTCGTTGGTTTTTGTCTTTTCATTGTTTTTGTTATTGTTCATTATTTCCTTTAATGGTACTTCATTCATTTCTTTCAAAGATTCGATAGAGTCTCTACGCTCGTCGACATCTTCGCAGATGTTGTACCCTTCAGGAGACAATTTCCTCACAGTCGGGGGTGTTTCTTCCTCACTCACCAAATTCTGTTCCAAGATGTCCCGATTCTTAGTGGTGTGATTCTTAGCAACGTACTTTTTTACTTTTCGTTTGGTTTTTATCACAACGACTTCACTTTCCACATTTGAAGATGAATGCTACAACAATAAAATAAAAGAGTTATTTTTAAAGTCAACAAAACTGGACAATATCAACATCAGGCGTGTGGGCAGGGGTGCCGTCGAGGGCGCTCCGGGGCTAAGCCCTCTTGAGAAAATTAAGAGGGATTTCTAGCAACCCTTTATTATACTGAAGGTATTCCGTGAACGAGAAGTTTCCTATTAGTATTTTTGAATGGTCGAATGTTTTCTACACAACAAAGAATCTTCAACACAAATGCAAGTACATTCGGTGTTGTATGGTTGTAGCTTCTAAAATTTGCCTACAGCACAGTCCCCTTCCCAACTTTTTAGGACGGCGCTCTTGTGTGTAGAGTTAACCAATAGAAAAAAAGTAATTTTATTTGAGATAAATAGTTTCCAGTCATGAAGCAAACAATCATAGCCACGCAACTGCTTTCTTACGGCCCATGATGACGTCATTCGATAGAGACAAGCATTTTAACCAAGCATTAGTTTAGGGGGCGAAGGCGCTCATCATTAACCTAAGAGGGACAAATTGCGAGCACCTTGTACCCCCCTTAGAACCTCTCTCATTAGCATGATATAAAAAAATTGTCTCTGCGGCTAACGTGATGCATACATTAAGTGACAGGGTATTATCTAGCAGATTATATCGCTCAATATATTAGCGGTGTATATCTAAAGTTTGCTGTTGAGATCTCAAATTTGGTTTTTAGAAAACGGAAAAGCTTTGTGGCTATTTCAAAGGCGGAAAGAAATTATAGTCTTACCTGTTTAATTTCTCCGTCAGTTGCTTCTGACAATAGAGATCTGAAAATAAAGAAAAGGTCGGTAAAAATATGCTGAACTTGGATACATAAAGTTGTTTGTTTTACATAGATTAAAAGCTTTTTTGATACGAAGCCCTTTATAAGAAAGCAGGCTTAAAGATAAGGAAAAGCTACGGAGGGAAAAGGGGTTAAAGCGCCAGGAAAAAGGCAAAACAATAATTAAGTGAAGAAAATTGATAATTTTTGCGAAGGCCATTGCCTCTCCTGCCCCCTGGTTTAGTCATCCTTGCCTAAGATGACCAAGCTCTCAGAAAATATCACCTTTTGTCATGACCAACATTAAGAAACTGATCAAAAATCAATCTTTGAAAGAGGAAATGAAAATTATGCTCTGCGACTGATCCTCGACGTTAAGAGGCAGTTCGAGAATCCATCTTTGAAAGGTGAGATGTAACTGATGCACACCCTAAACCTTCAAGGCCGTTAGCAAATTCATCTTTGAAAGAGGAGATGTTCCTTGTTTAATTGAAATTGATCATAGAAAGAAGAACTCTGTGACTGATTAGGTGTTCGTTTTCATGTCATCTAATGTTACATTTTCGAGTTTCTAAAAAGTAGCTCTTTAGCGCTTTGTATTTAAAAAGCCTTTCCAAAAACTTTAGTTCTAAAATCAACAAAAAGTTAAGAAACTTAATACTTTTTCCAAGCTTGGTTTCTTATAAAAATGTCCCTTTATAATTATAAATTCTTATTAAACAAGCCTTTTATTGGTGACTTCGTCCTTGCTCATGCCAATAAATGCTTAAATAAAGAAATGGATTAACTTGGCAACAAATGAAAGTATATCAAAAAATGAAAAAATATGACAGCTGGAGATAATACAAAGCATACCTCCTTGCTCTAGGGGGTTTGGATGTATCTTCCCCCCTTCCGTCTTCTTCATCCTTGACGATCCTTTCCTCGGTACTTGAAGCCCCCTGAAAAAATAATTTGTCTTGTAAGAACAAACCAATTACAACATACTGTTACCATAATGTAAATGTTACATAAAATATAAAACTACGACTACACAACCTCTAAGAAACGAGAAAAAACAAGAATACCAAAACTAGTTAACATCAAACCACGACTCACCGATGTTTTACTCGATTTAAAATTAGGTTTAAACTTTAGGCCTAAAGCTGTCTTCAAATGGAAAACCTTCATTCTGCCAGGTTCTCGCGCGGCCACAAGTCCGCAGACAGGAAAAACCGAATAAAGTGGAGTGAAGTCTGGCACATCATTTAGATATCATGATTTAGATCCTTGAGCAAACCAGTCACGATTTTTTTTATTTCCTTGGAGGAATCCACCAATTATATTTGTACTTCGAAGTGGAAATTCCAGGATACACGGGTATGGATTAAATAAAGCGCGATCTTTTGTTGACTAGGCCATGACTTAAACAAGATGAAATTCTTTCCGGCTTTGGAATTCTTTGTACTATTCAGAATCCCCCACTGCGTGACGAACCACAAGCTGGCGAACTAAACAATGTTTGTCTGAGGTTTTTTTGCATTCAGATCCATTGGCTGTGACAAACCATCTACATATTGACTATATAAGGAAAAAAAGATTTACCTTAATGGGCTGAATTTTCGGAGGACTAATTTCGCCTGATTCGATGTCGACGCGGTTGCTGCGAAGCTGTTTTTCTCTCAACTGCACAATATACTCATACGTACTCATGTCTTTACAGACTGCAACACAAAATATCAGTTAAGAATTATCTAATCAGGAGTATAATTAATAAAGGTGTGAGTTGAAGCCCCAAGAATCCTACAGATGGTGTTGAGATATCGCACTCCCTCCCCCTTGTTCTACGTAGATTCCTCTGCTATCAGATGCATAGGCCCCAAATTGAATGGGGGTGGGGTTAGATGCTGGACACTTTACATGCATACAACCCAGCTGTGCTTTGCCAAGATTGAAAATTCACCCCCTTTCTCCCCAATGGACACATGTGACTATCATAAGTGAAGTGGCCATACGAGAGTAATAGAATCCCTTCCACTTACGGAATAACTACCATGGATTTAATTTTTGAGGATCCGTTAAACAACTAAAAAAGAGCGTTTTCTTATTTCAAGAAACAAAAAGTTGTTGCTTATGTGAGCATCTCACGTGATATGACATTATCTAGTAACTGATCACAGCTTATAGGAATAGGCCGATCCCAAGTTATGAAAAAAAACCAAAAGTGGCGAGGCTTGTGCAAGATGAAAAAATCTCTAGCCTTTCCGTGCCTTTGTGCAAACGGCTCAAGCAGTATTTCCGATCAGATAATCGTGCTTCGTACAGTTCCTGGCCTACCGCAGCCCAGATATGACCAATTCTGAGGTCAACTGTTCCGTCATAAATCAAAGAGGATAGGCAGTGATGTGAACTTCTCCTAGGTGTCGCGCCCTAAATCTCATCCCAATCATTTGCTTATGTGATACTGTCCTTCTTGCACCAAATAAAGTTGGTTTTTTACAGCGATTAACCAAAACAAATATAGTTGGAATTTGGGCTTTGTTCAAGTTAAAATTTCCCAGTAAGTTCTCTCTTCGCCATATAAGCACTCGTTGAAAGGGGGCTAGCCCCCTCTAGAATCTGTGCACGTCTCTATCAAGTCACCTCTAGAACTTGGTTAAGTCCCCCTAGCCATGTAAGGATATCTTATTTGAAAAGGCATTGCTAGCACCGCTAGTCGTCTGTTAATGGAAAATGAATCCCGTTAAAGGGAACCAGAAATGTTCTTGCACCACTACTTTAGTATAAATATAAAACTGACAGTGATTTTGTCTGAGTAGATTACACAGATATTAACCAGGGGTCCTGTTTGTCACTACCCCATTCCTGTTTCTGACTGGCACGGGGTGACTTAGCCAGCACAAATGAATTTGAAGCTGGAGCTATCGCTGGAGATTTCCATTTTGCATGCATTTATATTGTAAAAGAGGAAGATATAACAAAACATCAAACAACCAACTTACTGAGGTAAAAATGAAAAATTATCAAATGTCCAAGAAGGCCTAATGTAACCAATAGTAGAATTCCAGTTATTGAGATAATTGCGAGGTAAGCTGACTCGTTTTGAACCAAGACAAAGAGTTTCCAGCCATTCTCTGAGTTACCTAGAAGGATAGAAACAGAAAGCCAGTCAAGTTCTGGTTTTAAAACCTGAAGAGCATCGACGGATATATATACCAGTGTTCTAAATATAATCTATCAAATTTACATTGACTTTATGCTGTTTCCAAGGACGTAATTGTATTGAATATCTGGTAACAAAAGGGAATTATATCGTGACTAGAAGCCTATCAGCAGATGTGTAGGTTAGCCATTCCATTCCATAGCCATCCGTTCATTCCATTTAAGTGCAACAAATATTATTTCAAAAATGAGAACAAAGACTAATAGGCCGGGTTAACCTTGAAGCAACTTTGCTCTGAGCTATCGACGGACGCATAAGAAAAATACAAGAACTAGTGTAATGATAGAGGAGAAATTACCTGGATTGGTTCTGAGCTGCTTTCTGTTTACAAAGTAAACAACAAATTGATAAAGGTCAACTATAAAAATCGCCAAGCCAGCTACAAAGCCAGAAATAATACAACCAAGAAATAATCTGCAGAAAAAAGAAAACGTTATTCGAAAGTGATTAGTGAAATTAATAGTGATAGGTAACACAAAGTGATAGGGTGTGGAAGCATTAACTTGAATGAATCTCTGGACAACCAAAAAAAATTATCAGGATTATATAAAAACAGTCTTCACTTAGACGTCATAAGAAATCACAATATTCTGGATGTGGCGCCCAAAATGGTATGCTTTACATGATGTTCGCATGAATGTGGTTGATTTTAGGAATTTTATTAAGGCACTATTGCACTTAAGAGAAATATTCGTTTCTGCAGTGTAGTCAAGCAGCGTATTATTCTTGTCTCTAGAAGGTATCAGATAGTATGTTTATTTCTGATTTCATCTGGCACTCATAAGCAGAAGAGAAAAAACGTCAGAAGAAAAGAATGAATTGATAAAAAGGCAAGTTGATAAAAGAAACGCAGAAACAATTAAAAAGTTAGTTTACCTATAATTCTGACCTCCTACGCAATTATTAAGCCATTTGCAATGGTGGTCGAATTCGGATACACATTTGTTACACACAGAGCAGTGTTTACTTTTGTCACCTCTATAAAACAGAAACGACAATAAATATAAGCAACATCATAAATTGCTCGTTTGATATCCATTTGTATGATCTACTTTCAATACGTACGTGTTAAAAATTTTTAGATCGAAATCTCAAAGCAAGGATAACAATTGTCCAACAACTAAAAACGCCGGAAGAACTACAAGGTCCTGCACAATGTAAAGAAAAAGGAAGAGAATTTATTCATATAATATAAATAACACGAGTCTTAATATATCAGTAAAGTTTCGTTATTTGGATAAATTTTGAAAGCGCGTAAAGCTTATATTACACAAAAATACATTGCTGTCCTTCGTAAGTCGAAGAGGAAGAAAATCGTAGCTTAATTTCAATATGGCTGCCCCTATTCACGTCTTTAGTGCATGTTCACAACATTTGATAGCATGAAAATTACTTACACATCAGTGAGGCAAATACAACAATGGAAGTTCTCGATAACATGTGCTCTCTTGCTTCGATCAAAGCCGGGTTTTTCTTCACCACCCTTGGCCTTTCTCCGTTTCGCTTTCACAGCAACATCACTTGGGTCGATAGACAAGCACAGCAAATGATAAACTGTGTGAACAGTCAAAAGACAAGCGGGGACCTACACAAAGCGCGGTTAAGGAAAACATTGACAAGCAGCATGTTATATTCATTAGACTGAATCAATATCGATAAATGGAGTAATGTTCTGAATCAAAGAGCATGATGTCATTGCATGGTACCTGGTACTTGCTCGCCCACCCGCGCGTGCATTTAGGAATATTGAGTGACAATCAGGGATGCATTGAGGGGGTACAGTATCGGAATATGCACAAGGGAGGACCAGCCACTGTTACAGATCATAATTGTTGCCAACGTACTAACTTGGCAGTTAAAAAGTCTTTAGAGTGAATACGACAGCGTGTTACTCATACTGGTCATCACAACATTGTTAAAAATGTAAGCAACAGAAATAAACGTAGTAATGACTAAATGTTAGAGTCCAGTCCTATTTCAAGCAAACTGACAAGGTGCACCGGCAATTGTGGATTCTGGGCGGAAATGACGAATCCAGAGGCATGCTTGGGAATCAAAGTATTTGTTGCAGCGGAACATGTTGAAAATCGCGGCAGTCTATATTTCCCAGGACGAATAATTGCGTCCTAGTGAAACTCTTGATATTTTTCAAACACAAATGTCTTTAAAGCTCTGTTAGGCACCGGTGATGTTTTGACCGTTCTCGCCCTTCTAAAAGTGAACTGACGTCTTGTTAAGATATTGCTCAAGGTTCAAATGAGTTCGTGTTAATAATGTTATCGTTTAAGGATATTTTTTTCCATTAAAGTTCACATTCAGAAATTAAAGCCCTGGTTAAAATGAAACGGATGGGCTAGGCCCACTTTCGTAAGAGTAAGGAAAAATGGCTTCATGTAAAATCCTAGGTTGGCACATGGTGCTTAAATTTGATAAGTTGAAGACTTTTCCCCAATACAGGCAGCTGGACGGCAACAAAGCTCACACCTATATATGGGAGGAGATTAGCCAATAGGAAAGATGGTGAATTTGATTGGCTGTATATTTAACGCCTTGCAACTTCCTATAATCATAGCAGAATCTCTTGAACAAGCAATTGAACAGGTAATCTATTGAAAATTAGCGCGAAACGAAAAATCAAATGGAGAAAGAGTTATTGTAATTCACCTTGTCAAAGCAAATAACATCTGCATGTTTCACAGAATCTTTTTCATAATGTTGGCGAAATGAGCCTCTTAATTATTCAGAGGAGAAACAATAATTCACAGGACAAACGAGCGTCCATTTGTGTGAATAAAGGATTTACCACATGAATAATGCAGCAACCAGAATTATTAAAAACTCATTTTTCGTGTTTCCAAAAAGGGGTCTGGGGCTTTTCCACACCCTCAGTTTGATCAAGAGGCTAAGCCCTGGAAACTTTTAAGATTTGAAGTCTGTTTATTTAGCGAAAATTTGCTTTACTATGCCCAAGTAAAAAAGGGCAACTTAAAACCTAAATGAGGTCATTTGTTCTCCTCGTTACCTATGCTTGAAACCCTACGTAAAAACATTATGATTTAATTGGTAATCGACTTTGATATATTCCACATAGTTTTTGATCAAATACAGAGAAGTAAAAGATGTATGTGGCAATGTGTGCCTTTCCTTACAGTAGGTGATGGAGTTGTAGCTTAAGAATAAAGATATCATCAGTATTGTTTTTCTTTCATAAACAGACAAGAAAATTTGCTGGTTATTGAGCTTCCCCTCCTCTGTCAATAAATGAGGTAGAATCTTTGTTTGGGTCCGTACTTTTCATCCTTGATATGTCTTTCCTTGCATGCCAACATATATGTATTCTTCCAAAATCCATTATCTATACTTTTCAAACTTTTTTGGTTGTACAAAATCAACTTTTTGGTTGAAATTAAAATCAACAGATCAAAAGCAGCGACACCAGAACAACCAAGGGGTAAGGGGGCAGGCTTGAGTAAAGGGCATTTGAAAGATAATTCCCAGCTTCTACTAACTCTTTCGTACCTACCATTTTATTTTGATCTTCTTTAGGTATCTTGAAAATTGGCTAGCATAAACAATTATATTAACAAGTTTTGATAAATGTTGTTATGAATTAGGCACTGCAGTCAGAATTTCATATGAATCTCTTTGATAATTACAAAAGGGCAATTTAAGAGCACTCTAATGAAAACGGCACTTTGGCCCCCTTGCCCCTCCTATCAAAAGGCAACAGGGGTGGTTGACCCCTGCGTCCCCCTCTCCGGCATCCCTGATCAACAGCAAACCAGAAACCCCTCCAGGACATTCATTGTTGGTCACAAAGAAAGTTTTATTCAGATACAAGCTGGCAAGAGTACTAACATTTTAGTTTTATCAGTTCAGTTTTGGTGAATGACTCAAATTAAGCAGGGGCCAAGGGATCTGTGCTTCTCAGAAAAACTTTGTATGTCCAAAGATTATTAGAAAACCCCTGGAACCTTCCAGGTAAAGATAATGAATAGAGAAAAATTATTTCTTTTACTTTCATTACAAAAAGCAGTTTTTCCAAAAAAATCAAGTGTAACAATCCCTGTCTGGTTTGCCTGGTATGTGGGGCAATCTTAGATAATGTGCAGGACTTCTTATACATTTCTAACAAAGATAAAAGTAACAAAGATCATTAGCAATTTGTAAACATTGAAAAGTGTGCATCAATTATCTGATTAATGTCAAACAACTATGAGCCGCTTTATGTTTTATTCCCTAACTAAACATTAGCATAAATCAGAACGTGATAAACAGGATACAAAAACTAAACCTCAATGTTTAATAACTACAGTTGATGTTAGCAAATTACAAAAAGGATACAATATAACCAGTAGCCTGCCACTCCTTTGGAAGATAGTTTACCAGAATTCCAAAATGAATTGTTGCAAAAATACAAATAAATAACCAAGCCATTATTTGAAGTGGATGCCATGGACAAGTCCAACCATTGATTCTTTCAAATGAATTTGATACTACTTGAATATCATCTGAATTATCTGCAGGGCCAACTTTATTTTTCTGCTTACAGCAACAAGCACAGCACCTATTAGAATTTCCCTCATTTGCCATGATGTTTTACATTTGTATGAGCCTGAAGAAGGTAATTTCATTTCTGTTCTCATTATTTGTCAAAAAACATTCAATAACAGTATATATCTTATTATAAATTTTAATTTTTCAATTCTAAGCATTAACAGAACCTATCATAACAAATTAAATTTGGCTTGAACCTTGATACATTTTGCTGAAGTGCAATGGGAAATGACAAAGGGTTTAATAACAAGCAAGCAACGAGTGTGGAATGCAGGGAACTGTACAGGAATTTTGTAATGATGGGATTTCTAAAAATTTGATGTTTAGGAAAAGAAGAGAAATAGGTTCAGAGCTTGAATCTACATGTAACTTAGCTACCTTTATAACTAAATGTTTGGGAAAAGAAATTGGATTTAACTGAGAAAACTTTGCCAGCTTCAAATATCTATAAAGAGTGTTTAAATTTATACAAATTTTATTTTATGAATTTTATAGAAAAGGCTGTACATACTAACATAGAGCGTAATCACAAAATATGAGGAATAATATTGAAAGAAATATATTACTTGTTAAGAATTCTGCACTTCGAATATTTAATAAAATAGTTGTTCATTTGAAGTTTACTTATGCATCAAAACTATACATTCTAATGCACAGAACATAGATATACTTTAATTTTTCAATACCATTTCAACATATTTCCAGGAAAGCAACATCTAAAAAGTATTTGAAAATCACAATTCACGTAGGCCTTAACTTCAATTGACTTGGAAAGACCCAAATGCATTAATAATATATAGCTAACTTTCACAATGAGATCGATCATTTATTCCTGACTGGAGTACATGACGAATCGTTTTTCCTACTTATACATAATTCGTTACAGAAACCTAATAAAACTATTGTTTTTCGATATGCGGTACTTGATTGCATCCACGTCTTAGCTAGGCCTTGACAACCTTTATTTAAGATTCGCCAAAAAGTTCTCAGGTCAGTAATGAATTGGAAAAATAAATGGAAACTATACTTACAACAGCATCATTTGAGATTGTACACGAATTATTGCTTTATTTCCATTATAAACACAAACCAAATTATTTCAAACAACGTAACTGAACGAAATCACAGCGCCATTCCACTCTTTATTATGAAGTCGACAACTAAGTTAAGTTGAATTGATTTCAATTCATCACCATTGGCAACTGGAACCTGTGCCCAGTCTTCTGACTTTGCCGAAAAACAATAGTTATATTAGGTTTCAGTAACGAATTATGTCTTGTTCATAAACATATACAGAGGGAATAAGTGGTTTCCACAACATTTATTTTTTTGACAAATAGTTTTAGAAGAGTTTACCTTTAAAAGGTCCTAATGATAACGGATGATGGAAGTTAATTTAACGTGAGTTAGTTACACAAATGGCGGTTATAATTTGGTTGGGTCGTTCAATTTTTGACGCACTTCGTTAAGTTTTTCTTGTGCCCGTACCGTTTTCAAAGTTTATGCACAAGGGTGGAGAGTTTTCTAGTTTCGAGGGGGTTTGGAATTAAATGGGAAAAGCTCTGTGGTTTCTTACCCGTTTATCCCTTGAATCATCTTTGGGCATTTCAAGCACTTGCTTGCTTACGCGAATCAAGAGTATTTCCTGTTCTCGCCCAGCCATCCCATCCAAAATTTTCGGCATCGCGAAAATTTCTCATATATTTAGGCATGTATTATTCCCTTTGAGGTTTTGATGCTTTCAAGGTAGGAGTGGTGCATTAGCTCAACTCAAAGTGGGGAAATAGCTTTATATTGTTCATTCCCTGCCTGAACAAATTGGAATAGACGCTTTACGCGTAACCTTTTCTAATATGCTCTTCCCCAGTATTTTTCGCATTTGTTTCTACCTAGTATCCGAAGACAGTTTGTAGGCAGAGAGAAGCTATGCTTATCGAGCAGTGTCCTAGGCCTTCCTCTCGATGTGAAGACACCTTGTGATCCCCAACCCTGGAATTGTCGAGAGCTGGCGACTCGCCTCACTCCAAACAAATGTCGGTGACTCAAACACTAGAGCCTAGACTAGACCCTTGGATCTGCAGTCAACGACCCTAACCACCAAACTATAACCATCTTCATGCCTGAGCCGTTCTGTTAGACATTTAGGGTAGGCTGAGCGACTTGTACCGATACATCAATTAGTTTTCAGCGTTAGGAAATTAAAATATCCTTTTGACTTATACGATAAGCTCCCATTTCGCTAGCCTGATAACCTTTAGAACAATGGGCTTGTTATCAGGCTACCATTTTGCCTTTTCATAAATTTTTCATAACAGGCAATTTCTTAAAACACGAATAAAATAAATTTATATCAGTCTCAGTAGGCTCTCATTTCAAAATATTATCACAAATTCACACCATGCAGTTATAAAAAATGGTTAGCATAGCTACGAACAATGTGAGTGGAAAAATTTATGAATGTCTTAAAACTAAAATTTTTCAGCGGAAGAACATAAGTAAATCTTGCTATGAGTTAACTGTTGCTCAAGAAGTAGAGAGATGGGGTCTCAAATACCGAAGTTATGGCATTTCAAAACACAAGGTCGATATGTCCTTATGTAATTCGGGAGCTGAACCCAATGGCTATAGCCCCAGGTCTCTACGTCACAGAGCAGCAGTAGGTACCGATGATTTCTATATTCACAATAAAACAAATATATTAATGATACTACGAATCAATATTTACAATCAGGCGCAAATAATAAGCATAATAATTCTGCTAAATCTAAGAACATGCTACCTACAGTCAACTCCTGTAATTCGAACTTTTACTCAGTTCTCAAGTCCCTTGAAAATAAACATCTAGAACTCTATACGATGTTAATCGAACATTTTCTAATTCAAATAGCTTTGCAATTTCCCTCAACAGTTTGAATTACACAGATTTGACTGTAGCTGTTAATTGTTAATATCATCAAAAGAATAGGGTAGAATCTCGATAGCCGAAATTTTTAATTGAACGCAATTATCATAGAAAACCTATTTATCTAGCTTGAGGCAAGGAGCGTAGCAAGATAATTAAATAACGACTATGTTCCAAATTCTTGATTCTTAGAAATATGAATATGCATAAATTTGCTTAAATTTTACTCTATCTCTGATAAAAGATGATGGGGGTAGTTTACAAAAAAAATATGTAGCTAATCTTTGGTTAAACTGTTTTTGGTATCTCTTTAAAATAGACCGGAGTGTGCGATTGGGTTCATCTCAGGCCAAACCCAAAATCAAAATATGTCCCATAAGATGCCCCCTTAATCCCTAAATGTATCACACTCACATAATTTTATCTATCATTTTCAAATACTTTCAAATGCATATTAAAGTTTTATTTGCCTTTTTGTGTCCTAACTTCAAGTTATTTTCTGTATCATAACTGATAAACATGACACCCTTTACATTGAACTTCTTTGAACATCAATGTTGAGGAAAGATATATATATTTATAACAAGCACCTTACTTTTAAAATCAGTTGTCAACCATTATTGTTCTAAAATTACATTTCTCACCAATAGCAAACCTTATTGAAAATACATGACATAATAACAAAATCTATACACCCTGTGTCTAATTAAAAAATTACAAAAATCAAATGTATCACCTAAAAGATTAAAATACGATCAGGAATATAAGCTGCAACTTACATTCGAAAGGCACAGAACATGTTCGATTTATATAATGATCGATTTTCATAATGTTCAAAGCAAAAATATCGTTTTTTGATGAATTGATCAAACACGATTTCTTTTAAAAAGTTAAACAAAAGAAAACAAAAGCCGATTTTGAATATTAAGAATAGGTTTCAAAATCGAAGATAATGTCGTTGGTTGCTTGCAATTGCTCTGTAGAATCAAAACCTGAAAGATAACTTTTCCAAGTTCGAGGCAGGAAACTCGACGAAGATGGATAACAGAAAAGCCGATCCGTATGTTAGCATGAGAAATGATGCATGAGTATACACCTGAAATAAAAATACATCAGTTTTATTGGTTTTAAATAAACCAGAAACGATTATTGATTTTCATCAGGACGGAGCAAAATAGAGACTTCAAGGGTGCCAAACAACACACGCAGGGGCGTAGCGTGCGGGGGGATGTACACCCTCAACTTTCAGAGAACTCGTCTGTAGAATTATGGTTTTGCATCTCTTACACCCCCCTAGCAAGAATGGTCATGCGACGCCACTGAACACACGAGTCACGTGGTGAATAATCTAACATCACTTTTCGGATGGAAAGATTTGATGGTCGGCAATCTTACCCGTGAACTGAAATAGCTTTAGCAACGTTTGTATAAGATAAGGCATAGACGCTTTTTCTCATCTTCGCCCACTCTAGAACAACCGTGAAACCAAATTTGGACAATTTTATAAAAAGCGGGATGTTTCAAGGGAACTATTGTCAATTTTTTCATAAATGTCATTTCAACTTTTGCAGTTGCTTAGAAAAAGAATTAATTTCTTTGTCAAACTTACCACTGATATGTCAGAGTAATGAAATGGCCGTTCAAGCGATCCGTAATAGACGTATATGACAATTGGGTGGACAAGATATGCGCTATATGTCAACCTGCTCAAGGGAATGAATGCTTTCCAAGACAGGATTGTATTGACGAGGCCTGAAACGACACAAAATTTCATCTGAATAGACAAAAAGTCATCCACATAAAAAAGTCATCAAAAAAGTTATCAATGTAAAAGTCATCCTCATAAAAAGTAATCAACATAAAATGCCAATCACATAAACTTAACATAGTGAGAAACGAATATCTTTAACGTCCCTGCAACACCAATGGTAAGTCAATGGCAGCTTAGATTTTGCGTAACATTTATATGTTTTTCTTGGGTTCTGTGAGAAGGAAAAGTTGAAATAAGGGGAGTCCCGCTATATTTACTGGAGAAAACCGAACACCATAATTCGCATGAATTTTATGATTGTGTCTTGCCCTCCCAGGAAACAGCAGCATAGTTATGAAGCCTTCTTAGAGCAATTAAACCAAGCACACATTTCTGTAGGCCATGCTATATACAAAAATGCAGTGACGGCATAGCTTTTAATGGATGGGTATCTTAGAAAAACAAAAACTCGAAAAACTTCTGCTACACACTAAGAAAAACTCTTTACCTTCACGTACAGTTTGCTTGCAAAAATATTCAAATAGCCTTACAATGGCTACATACAATTATGGCAAGTACTATGCATTATATCTATCTATCAACAAAGTAGACCTCATTTTGTTTTTAAGCCGAACCGGACTCTTCAATATTGCATTGACACAAGAACATTCTTGCGTACAAACATCTAGTAATTATTCCCGCATTATAAAGCTACATAATATTTCTCTGCTAAATATTTTAAAAAATTCATTGGCCAAACAGCATAATTGGTTATTTTATAGAGCTTTATGATATAAAACCTTTCTTCAATAGATTAGATTTAAATTTAACTGAAGCAGAAGTTATGACTTGTTGTCAGAATTTCTCGAAGTTCGGTCAGGTTTAGGCCCTTAACCGAACTACACAAGCCTCTGTGATATGTGTTACTGATATTCGGTTTTCCTTGGATGAGAGCTTTGTTCAAAAGACCCTGAAATAATCTTTAAGTAAAACATGACACTGATGGTTAAAAGCAATATATAACCCTAAGAGCTTACCTCCCATTCCAAAATAACATGCATAAATTACCCAGGCTACACAAAGACTCCAAGCGAATCGGCTGAATGCCCCATACATAACATTTTCAACTGACGTAAAAGGCCTGCCTCCATCTCTGAAATATGTGTATGGTCCGTATATTACTAACAAGGCTACCACCGTCGCTATTGTCCAGCCGAAAAACGCTAAAAGCTAAAGATAACACGAGCTTCAGAATACAGTGACTGCAACAATGCACGTTTACCAGAACTTGGAGTAATGAACAGGGTAACAGTCTAAGCCAACATTGCAGTTATTATGACTGTATTGTTTTTTATGTAGTGGCAGTGGCGGACACCTGAAGGGCGAGGGGGAATTTTGGAGGACAATATTCTTTTGTTCTAAGAAATGGGGAAGCTTGTCCCCCCCCCCCAATATTTGACCAGGTGTCCTCCTCTGTGTACTAGTCCCATCACAATAAGAAGCAATAATGACTTCTAACTGCAAGAAATAATGTAAAAATGGTCATGTAAAATTTACGATATTAATGTTCATGGAAATTGAATGTCACTTTAATATCATATGTAGATCAATCAATCGATGCACCATACACAAAACAACGGCGATCTTTTATTCAGATCCTAAGCAGGTATTGCCAAGAAACTAGTCCCACGATGCATAATAAACAAAACAACAGCTTGCCTTTATTTTATGTACGAGTGCAAATATTTCCAGGAGTACAAATGCGATAATTAATAGGAGAACAATCTGTCAAATACCTCAAAATAATTTGTTAAATTAATTACCGTTTTTGCATTCCCTCCTGGTGCTTTTCGGTTATAGATCAACCCACCAAGTGCTAGACCAACAATGTAAGGCGCGATTCTGCAATATGGCTTCGAATAAATCCAATCTGCAAATTCTTTTGTTTGGGCGTTTTGAGCTCTGCATCAAGGGAAGGTTTGCAAAATTGATGGGTATAAATATATTGTAAATAAAGAGTATGACAATCTGTCAAAATTATTCGGGAAACTCAGTGTCTTTCACTAGTGTACACGTCTTCACGCACAAGTACACTTATATAAACATTTATTCAAAAGCTCATTCTTAATGTTTAGACAATATCATATAAACTCAAAGAAAACACTTTTGTAAAAGTTCATGGCTCATACCATACCATACCATACCATACCATACCATACCATACCATACCATACCATACCATACCATACCATACCATACCATACCATACCATACCATACCATACCATACCATACCATACCATACCATACCATACCATGCCATGCCATGCCATGCCATGCCATGCCATACCATACCATACCACACCACACCATACCATACCTTACCATACCATACCATACCATACCATGCCATGCCATGCCATGCCATACCATACCATACCATACCATACCACACCATACCATACCATACCATACCATACCAAACCGTACCGTACCGTACCATACCGTACCATAGCAGAACCGTACCATACTGTACCATACCGTACCAAACTGTACCATACCATATCATACCATACCATACCATACCATACCATACCATACCATACCATACCATACCATACCATACCATACCATACCATACCATACCATAACATAACATAACATAACATAACATAACATAACATAACATAACATAACATAACATAACATAACATAACATAACATAACATAACATACCATAAACATACCATAACAAACCATAGCAAACCATAACAAACCATAGCATCATACAACAAAACCAAAAAGCTGATTTGTCTGCAGTGTTTCAAAGCTGTCATAACAAATCAATCACAATAAGCCTAAAATACAGATGTGTTTTTTCTCATTCATTTTGCAAAATTTCTGTCACTAGATTTAGTGCCACTATATTTACCATCAAGGTCAACAACAGAAAGTTGCATGAACAAAATATAATACAAAGAATACAAAACACCCAAGATCTTACCCTTGAAAATCCCCGGTGAGAAGTGAGTTTAAGTTATTCACTCCAATGATAGTGCCAGTGACAACAAAACTGATGATACAAATGGCAGTGCTGATAATGAGAGTACCTGGCAGTTTTAGTCTGCAAAAGAAGCACAAAAAATCAGAATGACATCACTACCTGAGCTGTCAACATACAAGCAATTGAAGCTCTAGTGAATACTGAAAAGCAGGCAGTGGCCACAAGAGCCTGTGTCAGTCCTGAACAACACTAGTGGCTCCTGTAATGAGAATAATACATTACATAACAAATGTATGGGTAATTCTCTGAGAAATTGCAACACAATGACCCAGAAATCTCCAGTTCCAAGAAGAATTAAAAATGGTCATGAAAAAGTTTATGAACTGAAAAGATTTTACTGGATTGCGGGGACTGAGTGTCTTCAAATCTTGGACCCTAGGAATCATGATTTATCTAGATATTGAAATACTGATGGACAGATGGAAGAAAATAATAGACCGAGAAGGGGTTATTTCTATATTGTGAAAAAACTGGTTAACAATTCAGAGTCATCTTGCTGAAAAAAATATTAAGCATATGCTTTTGTCAGTTAAAAAGTTACAGTTACGAAACAAGTATTCTGACAAAGAACCTAAAATGAATGGCATTGAACTATTTAAAGTATGTCAACTATAGCTATGTTTTCAAGATTAAATTATTCATTCTGAAGCATAATACAATTCTATGTTTTCAGAGAAGTTTCCATTTGGTAAGATTTCAAACAAACACAACAAATACACAGGGTAAGCTGACCCATCAAGTAAACCCTTGGCAAAAAAATAGCAGAAAAAATTCAAGAAAAACGTGATAGAATCTGGGTTATTTTGAAGATGTCAAACTTAAAAACAAATTACAGACAAATAACTATAAAATAGAATTGAAGAGGACAAAAATGTGTTTATTCAAAGGAAAGCTGGCTCAAATTTTCTTGTCTTTTCTAATCAAGCCTTTGATAATTATATTGTAAATTTATGATTAGATGCTAAATATAAATTGTATTGATTTAAATTTTTAGTTAAAGGTCCAATTGCAAAGAAATATTCTATTGCATTGTAACCCCAAGTAAAGGATTTTAAAACGCAATAAAATAAACATTTCTGAAATGAAGCTTTTTAAATACATGTTTCTTTGAATTCAAACCAATATAGTATTTTGAAAAGGTTTCGTGATATGGCAATAAAACAGAAAATTGAAAAAGACACCTACTTGTGCATAACTAATAAAATGGCTGGACTGATTAGGTAGAACTGCATGTCATTCGCAAGATACCATGACCATCCAATACACTAAAATTTAAAAAAATCAATAAATGTCCCTTAAATGTAATGCTATTGGTCTTGCAATGTTAAACCCTGTTTACATTACTAATAATCAACCCAGCTTCAACTAAGGCTCAGCCCTAGGTTCAGCACAGGTTTTACCCTTACCTAACCTTATGTTAAAGGTAAGGTGTCCATATGAAAGGACTGCGCATACCCAACTTGTCAAGCCACTCATCAAAATAATGGCTTGTGATTGGTTAGTATTCTTGCGATGCAAAACTGCTCACATGAAAAGCTAACCTTGCAGCAGGGTAGATAAACAGACCATAATGACTGGGGCGATGACATGAAAAAGCACATATTCCCAAAAACCCCTGCAGAGCTGCTTGCTTTAGCTGGACACATTACCTTTAAGGTTCACCTGTCCGTGGCAGAATATAGATTATTAGCATTAGCACAGCATCTTAATTTACATTAATGGACCAAATGTTGCCTGATGATTGCATAAAGTGTAGCAACTAAAAACCTTGCTGACTGGCACAACAAATCGTGTTAAGCTCTGCCTAAACAGTATCTAACACCATATAACAGATCAGTAAACAGATATTTTTCAAATGGCCAAAATGGATCATTTTCATACCATTGATACAAGAAAAGAAGCAGTGAAATCTCAAAGTAAATCTGTCTGAGTAAGAAAGCAGTAGATAGGCTGTCTGAGTTGGAGGCTATCTGAGCAACAATCTCAAAACAAACCAAATGGTAACCACCAACCCTTACCTACAAGAAAAGATTTTCATGAACTAAATATGTTTTGTTGCAATTCAAGTAAAAAACTGCAACTACCTCATTACCCATGCTGGTTGGGTAGAAATTGTTAATATACAGCAAATTGGTCCACCAGTGCTTTTTACAATTTTGTATTTCCATTCCTTTCGACTTTTCAAACCAAAGAGGTCCATCTCCGCAAAATGGAAAGATGAAAATGAAGAACAGAATGACATACATGTAGCTAGGAGTAAGCCTGGAATGAAGAGAAAAATTCTGTCTTTTAGCATATGAAGAGCCAATTATCATGAGATCCTAAAATGCCAGTAAAAAATTTCACAAGGAACATATAATAGGACATGGTGAGAAACAAAATCAGAAAAAAGTTTGATATAAATTAGAATAAATATATAAATTTGCCAGAATGCCAGCAGTGCCTTTCAAAAAGAGCATTTAAAAAAGTAAGGTTTTTTGGTTGACTTTCAACGAATGCAGACAAATGTTGCTATAAGATAAAAACAGCACAGGCAATACTTTAGTGTATCATTAGTGTAACAATCAAGTATAACCCATACCTCAAGAATCTGTGCAAATAGTATTGGGGCATGAACTTCTTGCTAAAGTAGCGGAGAAAGGATGATCCATCGTACTTATCAAATCGCTTCAGGCATAAGTAGGATACCAACAGGCCACTATTGTTGGAGTAAAAGAAAGTGAATTGTAAATCAGTCAATTAACAATCTGTAGAAACTGGTAACAGCAAAACTTCTTTGTCTAAAAACACAACAACACAAACACAAAAACCCACAATACAAAGACATAAAAACACACAACACACAAAACATTAACAAGCCAAAGAAATCTGGTCCCGTTATCCATGCCAGGTTTGTTTTTTCGAGAATCAGATTACTACAAATTTATACAAGGGGATCTACTGCTCTTGCCCTACTTCTAAGCTTATCTGAAACTCAACAATCTGTGGCACTAACCTCAGTAAAAAGAACGTATCCACTGAAACATAGGCATTGGCAACGGCTTCAAAAGATAATCGATGAACCACTTTCAAAGCATCCATAATGTTATCTGAAAAAACATATTCAGTTAGACATAAATAACCAACTTGAGCATGTACTGCTTGGAATAGCTTGGTTATTAGACATAAAATATACTGAGAGAAATTGCAACTGAGGAACATTACCAGCAGGGCTGATGGAAGGGAGGCTGGGGAGGGGGTCTAGAGTCCATCCAATAATTGCCAAACTGTAACAGTGTACTAGATTAGAAGGAATACAATGGGAAGGTCCCCCAATATGATTTCCATTTGACGGCACTCACCAGGGCAGGACTCTAACTGACGGCACCCAAAACTGCACAAGATTGCTCTGTCAGCTGAGCTACCAGTTCATCTCTTCAAATCAAAGCCCAAAGCTGTGCCCCTCACTCCCAACACCTACCCCGTCCTTACCAAATATGCAGGGTGCCATCACAGCATTCACCACAATGTGCACTGGACCTGCCAATAGGGCGGACTTTGTGCACCAGGTGGCAATTTAAAGTCCTGCCTTGGTTGTGTCACAAACTCACATTTTCTCGCAGTATATAAACAATATGATATATCTCTAAGGGGCTAACATTTTTTCTTGCTTCCAATGGACCAGTAAAAGTGTACATTCAAATGCAGGGCAAAACAAAGCTCCAACTAAATGACTGTACACTCCAAATCAATTCAAAAAGTTTACATTGAGTTCCTTAATTGTGAAAGATACAAAAGATAGTAAACAAGGTACAAATCAAAATCAAGGTACAGCTGATAAACAATGAGTGGTACTTTTTGATCATAACCTTCAATATTGAAAGTTGACAACATCCAGTAGAAAGAGAGATCGATCAACAAAGAGGTACACATCTAATCAACTGTTACCCCCAATGAAGACTTGTGGAAGCTAGGCCTGATTTTTTGAAAGATAAGCTTGTGGGAGCTTTTGGATGCTGATAACACACAATCCTTGATAACCTGTCCCTATCCCTTGTTGAGAGTTCTGCTCCAAGACAAACCTTCTTTAAAATGGGGTCTAGATTAAGCAGATTTTCAAATTTTGAAAATTTAAGCACAACTTGAGGGGCATTCAAGAGGCATGCACCCAATAATTGTCAATAGCAATTACCTGATGCAGAATACATGGAAAAATAAAATGTGTGACCCAAAATAACCCATGTCATGCTGATGGTGCGAATGCCATTGATACATGTGATGGCAGATGAAGCGACATCAGTGTTGAATATCTGTTTAAAGTTTTTCCGGAATGAAAAACACAAGAGGATTTCTGCAAACAAGCTTTCTGAAAAAAGATCAGAGATGAGTTAAAGTATAAATACAGGGGCTATAAAGAAAACAGGGCTAATTTATTTCCTGCTTCACAAACTTGAGGCTGGGGGTTTAAAAGAGAACAGGCTTCATATGGAAATTACCAGACAGGTGTAATAATGGAAATCCAACAGGATGTATTATGATGTTTCATTGCTGCAGGATCTTTCTGGCTTGAA